CTCCCCTCCCCCCTTCCCTCCCCTCAGAAGTTAACTCCTCAGAAGTTCTGTTTTGTTTTATTCTTTTCTCAGCTTTGATATTAAGAGCTTTGACATTTGAGGTTTCACATCATCTTGTTCGATCTCCAGATCTGAGATTTCTCCTTTCTGGCTTCAGTGGAGATGAGAAAGCTCATTCTGTGCATTTCACAACAGAGGAAAATAAATTCCAGTAGGCAATCTCAGCATATGCAAGTCGCCGGTTTCAACATGTTATACATACCACTTTTAAGTCCTCACAATAGCCCTGTCAGGTTTTTAGCTAATTATTCACCCAAATTCAAACAACAATTGGAGTTTTTGGATTAAAACATGAGTGTTGCCAGGTATGATAGTGTATCCCTGCAATCCCAGCACTTGGGAGGTAGAGGCAAGGGGGATCAGGAATTCAAGGTCATCTTTGGCCACATAGCAAGTTTGAGGCCAGCCTGTGTTACATGAAACTCTGTCAAGAAAGAGAGAGAGAGAGAGAGAGAGAGAGAGAGAGAGAGAGAGAGAAAGGAGAGACAGAGAAGGAAAAGAAAGAGAAAGAAGAAAGAAGAGAGAGAAGAGAGAACGAGAGAGAAATGGGAGAGAGAGAGAGAGAGAGAGAGAGAGAGAGAGAGAGGGAGAGAGAGAGAGAAACTTTCAAGTCCACACCCATGGGCAATAACAGCTCAGATTTTATTCCTTCCCACGTGCAGAGTCTAGCTAAGAGTTTGTTTATGAGATTATATTGATTGCACTGTTTTTGAGATAAGGTCCTGTTGTGTAGTCCAGGCATGCATGGAACTCACAATCTTCCTGCTTCGGGTACCCCAGCCTTGGAACTACAAGCATGTATCTACCACGTTTGGCTTCATATTGTTTCCTTTCTTTAAAATGTATAAATTTAGGGCCGGGCATGGTGGCGCACGCCTTTAATCCCAGCACTTGGGAGGCAGAGGCAGGCGGATCTCTGTGAGTTCAAAGCCAGCCTGGTCTACATAGTGAGTTCCAGGATAGCTGGGGCTACAGGGAGACCTTGTATCAAAAAGACCAAAAAAAAATTTTTTTTAATTGTGTGTATATGAGTGTTTTGCCTGCATGTATGTAAGCGCACCATCTGTGTGCAGTGCACATGGAGGCCAGAGAGGGTATTGGATCCCCTGGAACTTGAGTTACAGATGGTTGTTAGCCACTATGTGGGTGCTAGGAACAGAACCCGGGTCTTCTGCAAGAACAGCCAGTGCTCTTAACCACTAAGCCATCTCTCCAGCCCTTCATTCTTTAAGTGTGACAGTCATAGGGCAAGTCAATCCATGATGAACACGTCTGGAAAGTTGGTTTGTTTGGGTAATAATTCATTTGTGCATACCTGGAGTACTTCTTTGAGTTTCTCTTGTCTCTTCCTAACTTCAGAGTCAGGAGCACTGGCTTCAAAGGCATTTTGTCATAATGAAAAAAATAAATGTCCAAGTGGTTTGGGATAAAGGCAGCCAGTTCTGTTTCAATTCTCTTCCACCAAACCCAGGTTGAGAGTAAGCCTTTGGTTCAAGTCCAGAAGCCATCTTCCAAGATCAAGAAGATCAAAATGACCCAATGTTCACATAAGGTAGGAAGTGATGGCCCGTGCCTTTTCTCTAGAAGAGGGTTAAGGCAAGTGGATGGCCAGGGTTGATTTTAGCAGATGATTTTGTTTAATTCATCATGGCAATGACTGTACTCTGAAAAGGGCTGTGCATTGACAGTCAGATGAGCTCTTCCCAATCAATCCATAAGCCAATCTATGCAGGAGAATACAGATCCAGTGGGAAGATGAGGTTATAATGTAACTGAGCAGAAGGTGGGGGTTTGTGTTGTAGAGCAGGAAGAACTTTGCCACATTTGGATGCATTTTCTAATGCCTTCAGACCTTTCAGGGTATTGTATGAGTCAAACATTTCTTTGGGGAGAAACATTGAGAAAACCTGTTGTCTCTGAACTGAAAAAAAAAATCTTGGCTAGAGGTGGGGCTTTGGAGGCCCAAATGTTGTAGTGATGATAATAATAATGGCTAGCACTTTGGGAATGCTCTCCATTTATTGCCTCATAAAAGCCTTATGAGGTCGGTCCCATTTCTTTCTTTCTTTCTTTCTTTTTTGGTCTTTTGGAGACAGGGTCTCCCTGTAGTCCCAGCTGTCCTGGAACTCACTATGTAGACCAGGCTGGCCTTGAACTCACAGAGATCCGCCTGCCTCTGCCTCCCGAGTGCTGGGATTAAAGGCGTGCGCCACCACAGTCCCATTTTTGTCACCACGGTAGCAATGAAATATGTGAGGCTTAGAGCATCCATGTGACCTGCCCAAGGTTTATAGTTCAGAACTGGAAGAGTGAGGATTCAAACCCAGACTATTCTGGTCTCTGGGATAGCTTTTTTTTCCCCAGAACCTGGACTAGTTGCATTCCTGTTGTGAATTGACAAGAGAGATGATATATGAATACATTTCCTTTCCTGGGCTTACTGTAATTAACTTCTCCTTCCTTAGAATCCAAACACCAGCATCAGTGCACTCCCTTTTGTGGACACCAAAGGGAAGAAGAACACAGTTAACTTCCCACACATTGGCAACAAAATCCTAACAAAGCCGTCCCTGTTGTATCAGGTGAGAAGAGGCAGTGGGCATGCCCCTGGGCAGGGAGATGGAAGGCCTGATTTCAATTTAGAACTGGGTCTAGAGAGACCAAGTAGTCCAAGAAAAACAGTGTCAGCTGAAGAGCCGGGGTCTAGCCTTGTTCTCACACTCCACAGTAAGTGAAAACTTGAGCAAATATGCCATTGTTTTCTTTTATCTGTACAGTGGGCTTCTTGGGTGTCATGCGCATTCACTGGGGAAAGGAACAAAGTTCTGTTGTATAAATGGTAGAACCATACAATGTATTTCCTCCCAATGTCCTCTTACCTTTTATAAAAAATTGTAATTATGTGTATATGATGTTGGTGTGTACACATGTGTGCAGATACCTGGAGTCCAGAAGAGAATATAGGATCTCCTGGGCTAGAGTTACAGGTAGTTGTGAGCCACCCTATGTGAGTGCTAGGAACCAAACTCAGGTTCGCTGAAAGCACTGTATGTGCTCTTAACTGCTGGGCCAACTCTCCAGCCTGTCCTCTGCCTTTTCTAGGGAAGGACCAGATGAGACACTGTGGGGTTATTGACAAGTTTAAGGGATGCTGTTCTTACCTAAGTTCAAGACTGCATGCCCTGGCAAGTTACTTTATCTAGTGGGACTTGGCCTGCATTAGTTATTTTTCTCATTATGACCAAATACCAGACAAGAAGCACCTTAAGGGAGGAAGGGCTTATTTGGGGCTCACAGTTTAAGGGGATGCCATTTGCTGTAGTGGGAAGTCATGGCAGCAGGAATGTAAGGCTGTTGGTCACACCGCACCTGCTGTCAAGAAGCAGAGAGATGAGCACTCAGCTTGCTTTCACCTTTTATCCAGTCTCAGACAATCAGTAACCACCCATTAATGGTGCTCCCCACACTCAAGTGGGTGTTCATTTCCAGTTCTGGGAACCTTTCATAGACTAACCTAGACATGTGCTTCCATGGTGATTCTAAACTCAGTCAGGAGTCAAGAGCAGCAACAAACACTGTTCCATCTCTTTTCATAGTGAGATGCCACTGGGTTGTCAACTGTATACTGCAATGTACATAGATCTTACAGGATGCCATATGAGAGTCAGATACTTTAGGGGGAGAACGAGAAAATCTACTATCTCTTACTTATTTACTCTTTTTTCCCTGCAGGGGTGGGAAATGATTCTGGTTAGTGGTGAGTCTTTTGAGTCAACTGGGTGACCTATGACTCCCAGAAAAAGAGGAAGTAGTCTTTTATTGCAAACTTCTTTCCCTGGACAGGAGAATCACATTCACAATCAAATGCTGTCCTCTGAGCTCAAGACTTCAGAAATACCTTTCAACTCTAGCACTAAAACCCAAGCTACCAAGCCACAGTCAGAACCGCCAAGGAGGCACAAGATCCCTCTGACAGCAGCAGGTATGACTTCAAGACAGAGGCAGGGTGGAGTAAGGGGCATACTTATAGATGGTCAACATGTTGAGAACTGAACTACAGTGGTCCAAGCTGTCATAGACTGGAGTAATCAATTAAGACAAAGTGCCCAAATTAGTTGAGCAAGATTAGTTCTGTAACCTCTTGCTGTGGTTGGCTAAGCCCTAAGCTAAGTGGAAGTAAGCACCACCTCTCTACTGTCCATTCCATCCATGGTTCTGCACTGGGTCAAGGCCAACTTACTGTGTCAATGTACAGAGGGTATTATATCACTACATTGTATGGACTCAAGGCCATGGCAAAGTGAGCGTGAGCAAGGGTCAGGGGTGGGAAAAGAACTGAATACCATGTCAAAATAAAGTGTCTTGAAGTTTCTTTCTCCTCTTGATAAGATAGTCTTGACAGAGGAGCCTGAGGAAGACCTCAGCCAGGGCCTGGTAGAGGGCACTGAATGGGGGCTGCTGGGTTCCATGCGTAGGGATGCATAAGGATGCTGCCACACAGGAGAGCTTGTTTCTCCGCTGAGCTACAGTCTTTGATGCCATATATGGGAAGTGTACCTGGTCCGTGATGGAATGGGAAGCTGCCCCATGATGTCTGCCATGTAAAGCTATTGTAATTGCCTGGAGTAGAGTCTGAAAGATCAGAAGCCTGATTCTTCATGAGGTTCAGAGACTGGTGGTTTCTTTAGACTTGAAGCAAGAGAACCAAAGTTTGCTGAGCATCTTCCATACGCCAACACTGAGATTGAAACTGACTGTCCTTCAACAGTTTCAGGGATGACCAAGAGGAGACAGTTCTGTTTAGAGCTGGTTCTGCCTTTACGAAGGTGATAGCTGCCTCCCTGCTGTCTCGTGCCTTGGTTCTGCCCTCTGGGTTGAGAATAGCCTGGTTTAGCTTCTGTGTGACTACTTCTTCACATGTAGGAAGACAGAGGCCTTGTGTCCCAGATTTTCCTTCTCCCAGTAGTTCCCTGATTCTTCAACAAGCAGTGTGTAGAGTAACTGGGTAACCCTCCCCAATTCTTTCTTCTGAACCCCCCCCCCAGTTTATATTTGTTAACCATCACTCCTAATAGCCCACCCGTGCCCCAATACCAAACCCCTGATGTGATCTGGCCACTAGCACAGAACTGTTAACAGCCATTCTGCCTGTTTTGAGGTTCTCTCTAGGCTGACTCGCCACAGATTTGAGTGAGAACACCTGCTCTTACTTGCCTGGCTCCAGGAAATATTGCTGTTTTCAAATCCTCTCACAATAGCCTATTTGTGTAGCCTGATTCCACTTGAATTTGGGCAAATGGTACCTTAACCATGTACTACTGTTCACCCAGAGTTTATTACTGGAACTTTGACCCATTCTGTAGCAGTCCATAGGTCTTTGGGCACTAAATTCTCCTTGACATTTATCCTTGTTACATTTCTACTGGATGAGAGTCCCAGGGAATGATCCTTAGAAAGCCAGCTTGGTGGTGGATAAGCTTCTTGAACTGGGAAGGATGTTATGCCACCTGCGCCTAGGGGAATCCCTGTGTTGATTCATCATAGTTGACAACCATTATGCTTTTCACACAGAGGCCTTAAAGTTTTTCAAGAACCAGTTGTCTCCTTACGAGCAAAGTGAAATCCTGGGCTATACAGAGCTATGGTTTCTGGGGCTTGATGCTAAGAAGATCAAGGTGACTCCTGAGAAGTTCAACAAGACAAGTTTTGATGATGAACATGGTTCCTATATGAAGGTGCTGTGTTATGGGAACTTCGGGGAGGGGGGAGAGTTTAGGGATAAAAGATAGTGTCAAGGAAGAAAAAGCAAAGGGTACTTTACAGTATTTTGTGCTTCTGTGCTGGGGGCTAGATGTCTCAAAGGATTCTAGGAGGTCTGAAAGAAATACCATGTTTACAAAAAAGGAAACTATGCAATTCATGGTGCAACATCTGCTAGCAGAATGCCAGTTTCCTCCAGGAATATTAGGGTAAAAGATTGGCATCCTGGGTGAACTCCCACAGGCTTTTCTTCATAGCTCTGAACCCACTGGGAAAGGAGTGAAACAGTGACCCAGCATAATACAGACTCCATCAGTGGACCCTTTTCTGTTTTACAGTAGAAGTCATTTTCCCCACACACCACAAAGTTTTTGTCATTGTGATCTCTCTAGTGCACAGTGCTTAACTTCATTCTGCTTCCCAAATATTGATCCCAACAACTACTTCTCCATCTCTCTGATTGTTTCTCTGGGGTCCCCAGGTCAATGCCTCTTCCCAGCCTGAAGGAAGAATCAGGATGGCGATCCCCATTTTTGTTGATGTGTGAACCTGATGCTTCCTCCACCAGGCTGTGGTTGCCTAGAGCTTTCTCTTTGAGACATTTCATTACAACTTGGTTTTAGAAGACTGTCTTTGATGGTGTTTTAGAAGCAGTAGGTTTTCTAAATGACATGTAAAACCCTGTTTCTCAGGATACTGTGTACACAAACCACCTGGGGATCTTGTTAAAATGCAGATTCTTCTGGCAGAACAGGGTAGATAAGAGATCTTACATTGCTAAAAAGATTTTAGGTGATGCCTAAACCATCAGCCAAATCATGCTGAGAGGAAAAAAAGTATGTAGTTTCTGCTATACAGATTCACTAGACCCAAGTTCGCAACAGTTTTAAATCAAGGATACCTTTGGGGGTCTGACAAAAGCTCTGGGTCCTCATCCCACAAAAGCAACAAAAGCCAACAGCACATATAAAAGTTTCAGGGGATTAATGAGTCCTTGGTTATGACTCATCAATGTAAACCTTCCCTATACGCAGCTAGACATCCTCAACCCCCTCCCTCCCCAATCTTTCTATCTCCCTACCCTACCTGAGGATGTCAGCACAGCCCTTTAGTGAGTGCACTGGAGCTCAGACAAATCTTAGCTGTTTTGGAAAGAGTTAATATGTGTTTTCTATAAGCTCCAATTCACGTCTCTATTTCATTTGAGCACACACAGAAACATATAATGCATACAACCTAATTCCCAAATAAGATACAGAGCTACAGTCTCATATTTATTCTGCCAACAACTGTTACTTGTATATCCATTTATTGCCCACCTGTCACAAACCTGGGTATATTCTAGGCCCTGCAAATATAAGGGAACTATCTATCATGAGTAAGTACATTATGGTCCTTGATCTCAGGTAACAATGGTATCAAAGTGGGCATGTCATCAAGCAACTGTAATACAACCAAAACAGTGGTTGTGAAGAAGATAAGGACAAATGCCAGGAAAACTCATACATACCTTCATACCAGCATATCTGCAGATCCGGTGCCATTTTCATAACAGACCTTTACCAGTGGACTGGCCCTCTTCCATGTATAGGTGACATTGCACATGCTCAAATTCATGGTTTTAATTCTTTATGAACAGACACACACACACACACACACACACACACACACACACAATTACAAACACATTGGGAAGTCTTATACACAAGCATCCATCCTTTGCCCCTCCCAGACTCATCAGTGCCACACTAGAGATCAGAGATTCACAGGGCTTGAGGACTTCAGATACCATCTCATCCCAAATCTCATCCCCACCCTTGTGGATGAGGGCACTGTAGCTCAGAGTGGAGAAATAGCTTGTCTGAAGTTCCTCAGCTCAAGTCTTCAATCAACGATTTTTTTTTTTTTGTCTTTTTGAGACAGGGTCTCCCTGTAGCCCCAGCTGTCCTGGAACTCACTATGTAGACCAGGCTGGCCTTGAACTCACAAAGATATGCCTGCCTCTGCTTCCCAAGTGCTAGGATTAAAGGCGTGCACCACCACACCCACAACAACCAACAATTTTATGAGGCTTTAACTGAACACCTGTTCTCTGATTTACCACACAAAGAGAGACACAGATAATTCTGTCTCCTGGAAGATATTTTCTTAGCCAAGAAAGAACAGGAGTAAGCCTGGAGAGGTAGAGGGAGAGCTATCTGGTCAGGAAGAGGTAAAGCAGACATCAAGCCTTCTCAGATGGAGAGAAGCAGAGCAAGGGTCTTTAGTTAAAATTCCTCCTGGGAGGTGTAAGCAACATCACCCCTCCACAACCCTTGGTTGCTATGACAAATGGAGGCTTGTTTTTGCCAAACTACAGTCTGGGAAGCCAGTGAGTTTCTTGGACTTACAGAGCAGTGGGTGAGGGTTTACTTACAGAAGTCTAGGTGCTTCCCGCAGAAGGCAGCACTGGAAAGTCTTCATCCCAACGTGGATGGTGACTTTCCCACAGCTGCACAAAATGGCAAGAGACCCTCTCCATGGCCACCTCAGTTTGTATACCCTTAACTCCTCCCCTTCATGCAACTAGGGTAGACTGGTTGGTTGGGGGGTGTGGCTGACTCTCTCTGCCCCTTCTTTCTTGTGGAGTGTAATAGTCAGCAAGCTTAGCTGTGATGGATGATCCTAGGCAAGTGGGTGCAACCAAGCTTGGGAAGAAATTATCTGTCTATGGTCTGCCTGTATGCAACAGCATTTTTCAGTTTTGTTCAATCTTTTTAGACTACAGGCTTCAAATCATATATATGATTTAACATCCCCAAAGAACATCCCATGTTCTTTTTTCACTCTTCTTTCATTGTTATTTTTATGCATACATACATCCATTTACATATATACATATATATGTATATATATATACACACATTTATATAATGTACTGAGTCCATTTAGTGGTGCTCATGTGTACCCATGTTTAGGGCTATGCATTTGAGATTAGATAGATAACATCTCAGGGAGCTAGTCCCTGGAGAAAACTGATTCTCATCCCTCTCAGTATCTTTGATAGCCTGTAGCTCTTTATCTTAAAGTGGGATCCCGTGATATTCCCTCGTCCAACTTGGTATGTCAACTGGTTTTGTCATTATGCTGATCTTGCTAGTCTACCGTACTGTGGAGGTTTCATTGATACAGCTTCCCTCTCATGTCTAGAATATATCAACTAGCAGCAGGTGCCTTGTACCTCTGGCTCTTAGATTCTTTCCATCCTCTCTTCCATGATGGTACCTGAAACTTGGTACACCCAATATTCTTTACACTATTGGACATGGATTAAGCCTGTGGGGCTTTTCCTTGTACCACATGTGTGGTCTGTGGTCCAAACAATTTACGTAACAGTGAGTTGAGAGCAGGGATTCAGAACCACTCCTTCCCCAAGAGTGAGCCAGGAGCTGGGTATTGGGATCCAGAGGTCCTGGAGTGAGTCAAACCCAAGAGCCCATGGCTCTGCTTTTTACTGCTGGCCCGACTTCTGCAGGTCCTGCATGACCACATTGCCTACCGATACGAGATTCTGGAGATGATTGGAAAAGGGTCCTTTGGACAGGTGGCCAAGTGCTTGGATCACAAAAACAATGAGCTGGTGGCCCTGAAAATCATCAAGAACAAAAAGAGGTGTGGCTTGACGAATGACATAGGCCAGAGAGGCAGGACCGTGTGACTCGATAGTTTGGGAGTCCGAGCCCTTCTGCCTCTGCTTTTCTTTCTTTTCACTGCGCTTTTCCTCTTTTTGTCTCTCCATGTCTGCTACCCTGCGGGGACAAAGTAGAGGCAGGAGTGGAGTTTGGAGTGGAGCTTCTGACATCCTAGACAAGAATGTTGGGAGGATGGGGAGGGATTGAGGAAATGGCCTGACTGCTACATTGTGACACAACACCTATATTTTCTGTCCCCACTGCCCACCTTCCTGGCCATTCCCCAATCACCTCAGATTTCACCACCAGGCCCTGGTAGAGCTGAAGATCCTGGAAGCTCTAAGAAGGAAAGATAAAGACAACAGCCACAACGTGGTCCACATGAAGGACTTTTTCTACTTCCGCAATCATCTCTGTATCACCTTTGAACTCCTGGGGTCAGCTTCTTTTTCTTTCTTGTCTATTGAATAGATGCATAAGTGACAGAAGAGAACTTTTGAGGTCAGAATACTAGATATTTCCAGATGTGTTATTTAACAACTAGTGTGGTCATAGCTGCCATTCAGATAGCAAGGAAGCTGAGAGCGAAAGCTGTCATCTCACCCCCTCCCTCAGTAAAACCTGTCACCTGCCAGCACATGTACGTACCCATGCTGGGCTTCTCTGGTGCTGAGCATTGGAGTAGGTGACATAACCAGAACACAGACCTGCCCTCAGGATCTGAACTGAAACATATTGAAAAGGACTTTGCTTTGCCGCCACATCCTGGCTTCCCAACCCGGAGGTTAGAAAACAGCCACAGGGAACCGGCCGCCCAGAGTGGAGAAAGGACTCTGATTTTGAGTAAATAAAGGCAAAATCAGATTTTTAAAAAATGGTTTATTTTGTTGTTTTTAATTATGTGTCTATCTGTTACCATGAGTGCAGGTGCCCACAGACGCCAGAGGAGTTGGATTCTCCCTGGGACTGGAGTTGCAGGTGGTTGTAAGCCACCTGGTGTGAGTGCTGGGAACCAAACTCAGGTCCTCTGGAAGAGCAGTGTGTGCTCTTAACTGCTCAATTGTCTCTCCAGCCCCAAGAACAGATATTTTTGATGAGAGCTGAACCCTGACTTATGTAAATTGGTACCAACTGGTTGAATATTGGATCTGAAAAGGCATGCTTGCTGGAAGGGCACGTGCTTATTTGATTACTGGCAGAAATCCAGAATGCATTTAGTAAAAGTGAATCATGACACATGAGCCCTCAGTGGCCACATGTTACTGGGTCACTGACTTAGTAGCTTGGGGCTCCAATGACACCGTCATGGATGATAATGGTCTAGAAACTGGCTAAAATTCAATCAGAAGAGTGGACTTTCTACTTGCTTTCTCTGACAATTCCAAAATTTGGTTTACTCTTCAATATGCACACCAGGGTTGTCTTCTCTGTGGCAAAATGGACAGACTGTGCTTCCTGTCTTGGTCATTAAGCACAGTGCCCAGGTAGGTTATCACTATACATGAGAAACTCAGCTACATTGAGGAGGTGCCTAGAGTCAAAGGTCATGCTGGCTGCAGCCAACTCTCCTATCTCTATTGTCCCCAAAAGATGAATGGCTTCTTAAACATTGCTACAGATAGATAAAGTCAGACACAGAAGAGGGGGAACCCGCCAGGTGTTGATGCTGAGTCAGTCGGTATTGGCTCACGTTCCTTTTCCCTCTCCCCATTTCAAAGTTTGCACAGAAGGCAAAAGCCATGAACTCACAAATACATGTTTCTTTTGAAAATGCTTAGTAGTAGTTTCCAAGATTGGTAAGTCAGCAGATTTCATATAATAAAACACGTGTTTATGGAATACTGCAGGCTTCTGCTATAGTAGAGAACTGGGGATGGTGTTACCAGCCTTCGTTCCCACCAAGCCACAGCTCGGGGGACAAACATCCACACTTGCCTTTGAGAGAGAGTGGGGCTCCTTGTTTTGCCCTAGCTTTTGTTGGTCCACTCTCTTTTTCCCTTTCTTGTCAGGACTCTAAAGTACTTAGAAAGCCTTACAGGCTGGGGCAAGAGTCACTGCTTTGTTTTAGGCTCCCTGGGTCCTATCCAAGAGTGAGAAGAACGGAGACCATTATGGAGATTTGGTCAATCCCTCAACCTACTCATGAACTGTGTACACCCTTGTCTTGTAAGAAATGAGGTACATCCAGGAGGCCAGCTCAACTGTACTTTACCCTTGGCTTACCCCAAGTCAGAGGGAAGGCCAACTTCATATAAACAGGAAGCCTTGCTTCCTGGCTTGTGATTTGCTTGACATTAGAGGAAAATCAGGTGACATGGGATTATTTGTGTGTCCAAACCGAGCAGTAAAATTTTGACAGCTACGTGCATCACTTTCTCTCTCTCTTTCCCAGAATTAACTTGTATGAGTTGATGAAGAATAACAGTTTTCAAGGCTTCAGTCTGTCCATAGTTCGGCGCTTCACCCTTTCTGTTTTGAAGTGCTTGCAAATGCTTTATGTAGAGAAAATCATTCACTGTGATCTCAAGCCCGTGAGTACAAATGTTGTCTTGCTGGAATTGCTAATAGCCATCACTGGTTTTCAGAGTGGAAGCCAAGCAGTACTTGTTTATAGGCTGAGATGCAGTGAGGGATGAGGCATACATGTACTAAAGAGATAAAGAGGGGTGTGATATAATGAAGGCATCTAGGAACAGGTAGATGTGAGGGCTTCCTACAGAAGGGAAGGAGCAAGGTTGGTATTGTGAGCATCAAGGTATACTGCAAGAAGTCCCAGGAGTCTGGGTTGACCCAATTGGTCCTTTTGATCATCAGTCATTGTAGCCCTTAAGCGTGTTCTTCTCAGTTCAGTATGTGGTGGTGCACTTCTGTAATCCCAGGGAGGTAAACGTGGGAGAATCAGGAGTTCAAGGTCATCCTTAGCTACATAGAGAGTTCAAGGCCAGCCCAGGATACATGAGAGCCATCTTATACTCACCTTCCCCAAATGTTTGTTACGGTAAAAATACAGAAAGCACTGAGGATAAATCCACAGCAGGGCAAGTAAGGAGATCTTTTTGGAGAGACTTATGCATATTCATATTGTAAAGATCCCTCATGACATGCAGAGATGGATATATTCCCATTGAGATCATACTTTGCAAGTTCAAAACTGGTGGACACCAGGGCGTGGTATCCAATGCCTATAGTCCTAGTACTTGGGAAGTGGGAAAGGCAAGAGGATCAGGTGTTCAAGGCTAGGCTCAGCTACATAGTGCTTTTGAATTCAGCCTGGACTGTATGAGACCTTATCTCAAAAAATCATAATAATTCTCTTGTCTTCCCTGCAGAGATATGTGCCATGCTTGCAGGCAGACAGTCTCCATTAAACAATCACTACAGTCCTTGCTAGTACAATCCTATACATAGCCCTGTAGCGGTACTGACTGCTTTGTTCAGGAATTGCTTCTTGGGTGGGTGGATAGGGGATGGCTTTTGTTTTGTTTGTTTATTTGAGACATGGTTTCATATAACTCAAACTAGCCACGAATCTAGCTGAGACTGGCATTGAACTCCTGACCCTAATGCCTCCACCTCCCCAAGTGCTGGGACTGTAGACATATATTACCATGCCTGGCTAAGAATTGCTTCTTTACCTGTATCTCCCACAGGACTCCAAGCTCCCCCCGCCCCAAGATCAGGGACCATGTTTTCTCGCCATTTTGTCCCCAGGACCTAACCTGGTACTTGGTGACAATAATGGAAGGCAATAAATAGATGCATGTTTGTGAAATGTGTTGATGACTGCAAATGTGATGGAGTTACGTCGGTGGCTAAGGACAAAGTATAAAGACCTGGTTCAAAAACCAAGCTACCCTCACACATAGGCAAATATTGAACTTTTCCTTACTTCATGCTCTTCACCCCCCAAAATGGTTAAATTAAAAAAAATAGTAAGTCTTTGGGATAAGCTGGAGACCTTTTTCTGATTTAAGATTATCAAGATAGAGATAGATGTTCTCTCATAGCTGACTGGAGCCCTGTAAGGATGGGAGTATTATTAATTCATGTTCCACATCCAGTTCCAAATCCTCAGCTTTCCAGCTTCAAAAGTCCCTCAACACCCACATTCTTTAGGTTTAAGAGGCTGAATTTCACCAAAGGAATTCACAGGACAAAAATGGCCAAAATATCAGGTGACAGATTTCTTTAATAAATAGATCAAGTACATTCAATAGGTGTATCCCTTTGGGTAGTATACACACAGGGAATCATTTTTGTGCTCTTAATGTTTACTATACATGAGCTCTGAGTGCTATTCCTCCCTTCTGAGAAATCTTTCTGCCTATAAGAATGGAGAAGGGAAGGTGTGTCAGTCAGCTTTCTATCACTATGACAAAATACCAGTGAAAATCGCCTTACAAGGAAGAAAGGTCTATTTTGGCTTGGGGCTTCAATCTGTGGTTGGTTGACACCATTGTTGGGGGCTTAAGGCAAAGCAGAACATCATGGCAGAGACTGTGGTAAAGTTAAGCTATTCTTTTCATGTTGGCTAGGAAGAAAGACGGAGGAAGGGCTGGTTCTCAATAGCCTCTTCACTGCCACACCCCAGTGAGCTAACTTCCTCCCACTAGACTCCAGCTCTTAAAGGTCCCACCACCTCCCCATAGCACTGAAGGGTGGCAACTAAGCTTGCAACATGTGAGCTGTTGGGAATATTAAAATCCAAGGCGTACCAGAGGGTCAGCCACATCTAGTTAAGGAGGGATGGAGATGCACGAGGAATTCTTGCTCTTTTAAGGCTTCTGCTGCGTATCCTCATTTAACACAAACATGCTTTAAGAAGCGGGCTAGGGAAGTGCTTTGTTAGTTTGTGGTGCCAGAGCCTTCACACTGGCTGTGCTAAGTCATATGTGCATATGACATGTGAGTTAGGTGCTCAGTAAGCCATCCCCTGGCAGGAGGACCCTTGAGGCACAATTAGGACATTATTCTTCCAGCCTTAGACAGTGCTGCCTCACACTGAGACAAGAGCCCAGAAGTTCTGCCTTGACTAAAACACCTGGCTTTGCAGTTTCCCCAGTCACCATGAGAACCACATCCCCATCAAATCATTCTATCAGCTATCTGTCTATCTATCTATCTATCTATCTATCTATCTATCTATCTATCTATCTATCATCTATCATCTATCTATCTTCAGTCATCTATCTATCTATTTATCTATCTATCATCTATCTATCTATTGTCTATCTATCTGTCTTTGTATCTATTTTTCTATCCATCTATCTACCTATCATCTATTATCTATCATCTTTGTATCTATCATCTATTTTGTATCTATATTTGTATCTATCTACCATCTATCTATTTTATACCTATTTTTCTATCTATTTTTGTATCTATTTTATTATCTATTGATCTTTGTATCTATCTTTGTATCTACCATCTATCTATTTTATATCTATTTTTCTATCTATTTTTGTATCTATTTTATTATCTATTGATCTTTGTATCTATCTTTGTATCTATCATTTATCCATTTTGTATCTATGTATCTATTTTTCTATCTATCTTTGTATCTATCCATCCATCCATCTATCCCTTTATTAGTTCTGTACTATCATAACAATATCCACAAAAGCATTTCTTATAAACAAACATCACGTACACTCAGTCAATGGCGTTTCTAAGACCTTATTCAAGCCAGGCGTAGAGTCAGGTACCAAAGAGTATATAAATAAGCCCATAATCTATAGGAGTTTCACAACCAACAGGGGAAAGAGACAGAAATATGTGCAAAAGAAAGATTGCAAAGCAGAGAGTACAGAGTCCAAATCAGATACAGATCACATGCCGGTGGGAGTCCCAGGAAGGGAAGGACAATGTGATATGGAGAAGATATGGGACAATGATCTTGGAGGTATTTGGATTTGAACTTGGCTATGTACAGGGGTGACATATAGGTAAGAAAAGAGGCTAGAATAACCTTAATTTTCATAAACTTAACATACATCTTCTTTCCTCTAGGAAAATATAGTGCTATACCAAAAGGGTCAAGTCACTGTTAAAGTCATTGACTTTGGATCAAGCTGTTATGAACACCAGAAAGGTAGACCCCCCCCCACCCAGCCCCTCTGTCTGAACTCTGCTATTGTAACTTCTCTCCCTTTGCACACAAGGTTACCTCGGTGCCAATCTGGGCACAACTTCAACATGAGTTTGATTCTAATGTGTCCTAGTTTGTTTCTCCATTGCTGTGACAAAACATTCTGACCAATACCAACTTGGGGAGGAAGGAGAACTCAGGGCAGGAACCTGGAGGCAGGAGCTGAAGCACAGGCCATGGAGGAGCACTGCTTACTGGCTTGCTCCTCTGGCCCCTGCTCAGCCCACCTTCTTATGTAACAAAGGCCCATCTGCCCAGGGATGGCACCACCCACAGTGGGCTGGGCCCTCCCATATCACTCAACAGTCAAGAAGATGCCCCACAGACATGGCCACAGGCCAGTTCTATGGAGGAAATTCCCTAATTGAGGCTCGTCAACCCAGGTGTGTCAAGTTGACACTAAAGCTATCCAGCACAAAGTACTTCACTTCTCTGAGCTGAAGTTTCCTTATCTATAAAATAAGACATTTCAATTCAGAGATCATTTGAGTTTTTTGAAGTTCTCATAGTCTGTGGCTGTGGACTCACTCATAAGCTTGGGGACCCAAAATTAACCACATGAGCTTAGCATCACTTACAGGCTCTGGAAAATTATATTTCCAGGGTCTTCGTGCTGCATGTGCCAATCCAAATTTCTGGGGAGTACTGAGGACTATGTACTAAATGGTCATTACAAATTTTATACTTCACTGCATTGATTCATTCTCTGTGCCTTGCACTGTTTTTCAAGCTAGAACCTAGAAAGGAATCCTGAAGCATAGTCATACCAACCTTTGTTGAAGTCAGCTTACTAATCTGCTCTTTGGGTGTTTAGACTACTGATGTAGAGAACAGGTACCATTAATAGACACCTGTGATCTGCTATGTGTCAATCATTAGTCTAAATACATACATATACATATATGTACATACATACCTACATACACACACACACACACACACACACACACACACACACACACACACACACACACACACACACACACATATCTTGGGCCAGGATGCTCAGAAAGGAGTTTGCAGTCACTCCTATTGGTCTGGCGGTCATTTCCCATTTTGTATGTCTCCGATTTCCCTTTGATTTTCATTTTAACTGCAGAGCAGTAAAGCATTTGGATAGCAGAGTTGGACTGCCTGAATCCACCCCCTGCTATCACTGACAGTTTAGTGTCTATGATAATTTATTTAACCTCTGTATGTCTGTTTTCTCATTATGAATATGAAGACCATAATACTACCTACTTCAAGGGGTTGTTGTAAGAAATGAAAGTTCATCCACATAAATAAGTTGGAACACTACCTGGTTTATGCTCAACACATGGATGGCTTCTTTGTGTTTTGGGAAACAGCATATGGCTGAGTAGTCCAGGCTGGCCTGGAATTTTAGCTTCTCCTGCCTCTACCTCTCAAATGTAGGATCAGAAATAAATTCATGTTTTAAAATGCCTTGTGTGCGGCTAGGGATGTAGCTCAGTTGGTGGAGTGCTTTCCTAGCATGTATCAAGCCCCCAGTCCAATCCTCAGCATTATATAAACCAAGTGTGGTGGTGCACACCTGTAATCCTAGCACTGAAGAGGTGGAGGCAGGAGGATGAGAAATTCAGTGTAATCCTTATCACTACACAGTGAATTTGAGGCCAGCTTGGGCTACATAAGACCTTGCCTCCAAACAAACACAAACCCAAAATATCTGTGTATATGTGCTTTTCAAAGTACCTTGAAACACAAGCAGGTAGGTTTAAAATTCCATTTTTTAAAAACCAAATCTTTTGTTTGTTTGTCTGTTTGTTTGATACAGGGTCTCCCTATAGCCCAGCTGGCCTGGAACTCTCTCCCTGTATAGACCAGGTTGGCATTGATCTCACAGAGATCCATCTGCCTCATCCTTCCAAGTACTGGGATTAAAGGCATGCACCACCAGGCCCAGCAAAAAAACAAAACAAAACAAAAAAAAACCCTCAAATCTTTTAGGTTGCAAAATGATTACATCCTTAGTTGAGCAATTTTAACAGAGAAGTAATTACAGAGCCACCATCTCTGCACCCACCAATAATTACAAATAATTGCCATCCAGAAACCAAAATGTCCTATTCATCTGCCCCCGAGCATCTACCTCTAAATGTAGCGTTCCTTCAGTGTTATCCTGTGTGTCCCCCATGGCTGAGATTTCACTGAGCTTTTCTGTCTATTCATGGTATACAAAGGATGCAGATAATATATTGAGTATACATTCAATTTGAATTATGATTTCTTTTCTTTTGTTTCATTTTTTTGCTCCTGTAAGAAAGGGTCTCGCTATTTAGCTAAGTCTGTCTTGGAATTCATAACTCCTGCTCAGCCTTCTGAGTGCTGGGATTACAGGAGGGCCAACCCACCTGGCTCTAAATTTAAATGATGCATTTTGCATATTTCCTTTCCAACTGTGAAGTGCCTACTTCCTTTCCATAGAGCAACCCTCTCAGAAGCTGTCTCCCAAGTTTGAAGACTTAGTTTATATTAGTCTCAAGGGTGTTTTATTGTTTGTTTGTTTTATTTTGAAAAATTAGCCAATTTAAATTTACTTCCCAAGGGCTGGAGAGATGGCTCAGTGGTTAAGAGCACTGGCTGCTATTGAACGGGGCCCTGGTTTGGTTCCCAGCACCCACATGGCAGTTAACTACCATCTATAACTCCAAGTCCAGGAGATCCAGCGCCCTCTTCTGCCCTCCACTGTCATTGCATGACATGTGTGTACTTACATACATGCAGGCAGAACACTTACTCATACACATAAAAATAAATAAAATTTAAAAATTAAAAAAATTAATTTACTTCCCAAGAACAAGCCTCCTTTGGAGTGTCTTATTCATAAGGTGAGGATACTAACACCTCCAGTCAGGGAGGACTGAAGGCCTTGGTAACTATGGGATGGGCTCATTCCTTCTTCCAAGAAGCCTGCAGATGCCGGTGTTGAGGAGGGTGGTGTTCTAACTTCACCTTATGAACCGCAGAGGCATCTAGAGAGATTGCTGTGAACCAGAAGAGTCTTTCTCACATCGAGTCTCTCTCTCTTTGCCCCACAGTGTATACCTACATCCAAAGCCGTTTCTACCGCTCCCCTGAGGTGATTCTGGGCCACCCCTACAACATGGCCATTGATATGTGGAGCCTGGGCTGCATCATGGCAGAGTTGTACACAGGCTCTCCACTGTTCCCCGGGGAGAACGAGGTGGAGCAGCTGGCTTGCATCATGGAGGTGAGGGGGAGGGCTGGCCCCAGTGAATTCCCAGCGAAATGTCAGTGAGTTGCATCAGACTCATCAAGGGCAGTGGCCTGCATGCTTCCTCTCACTGTGGGTTGGATGTTTCTAGAAAAATGATGTACCCTTTGTATTCGATTGAGCTGACATCTAACTTTAAATAGCTGTAGGTGTCATTCCCTCCTTATTATAAATACTGACATTTTACAATAAAACCTTTATGCCAATCTTTCAAATACATTCCTCAAATAATAATAATGATAACAATGCTATTAATAAAGGCAGAGTGATCTGACACTCACAATCTATCTAAAATGTAGGTGAATTAACTCTTCTTAAACAATTGTATCTTTATTTTATTTTGTCTTTTTTTTCCCTTGAAAAGGAAGGTAGGAAGGTGTATAAAAATAACTTGAAGTGGTAACTATGATAGAATGAACACACTGGCCCGGGAGTTAGTAAACCATGGGTCTAGCCCTGGATCCATTTTTTTTTTGATAAGCCACATTGCCTCCTGTGGACTACTGTATAAATGTGTGTATGCATTTGTAAACATAATTGAAGACGAGGATAAGAAATTGAGAGAAAGCAAAGAAGGGGGATATGGAAGGAGTAGGAAGGGGAAGTGTGGCAATGTTGTGAATAGAGTACTCATGTATAAAATTCTCAATGATAATAGATTGTGATAAATATTGTATAAAAAGTAAATGAGGGGGCCAGTGTAGGTAGAAGCATCGTTGAACCATTCCTCCTTCATCCCCAGGGAGACTGGAGTATGTGCTTTGTATTTATATCTACTCCAGACTAGAACTCAGCTTCCTTTTGACCACTGAGGGGCTATGGGACAGGAGGACAGGGTCATGCCTGGATTATGTCTGACAACCAGGGCTGAGGGTGGGCTAATTTTACGTATCTCTAAATTTCAGGAGAAAAGGTGAGAAGGAGATGCTAAACTTTGTAAGAAGGTCTTTTCCTTCTAAGGGTCTGATGCCCATCTCTGCTCTCCTCTCTCTTCCCTGTGCTCCATGTTGGGAGACGTCATTCCTAACTCATTGTGGTCAGCATGGACTGAAGTGGTACTTGGCTGCTACTGGAATGTCTGACCTCTCACTGGTGCTGACACCGATTAGAATATCACAGCCAGTGCTCATTCTTAGGATGCTAAGACCACTTGGAATAGGAGTTTGTAGACCTGGTCTATGGGTCTGATCTGCTACTGACTTGATGTTACTTAAATCTCTCAGTCCTTACATGTAAAAGGCAAAGTTTGGGCAAAGCCCCACGTAGATCTTGACAGCCTTTGAATATGTGACTCCATAAAGAGTGACATAGCCACACTGTTCTTATTAAAGGTACTGGGCCTACCGCCAGCCCAACTTGTCCAGACGGCCTCCAGGAGACAGATCTTCTTTGGTAAGTCCCCGGGTCTTACTGTCTTTGTCCTATTGTGCCCAGTGAGGAGTTACAGGACTTGAAGACACCTGTCATATCATAGATAGGTGGGTAGGTGGATGAATGGAAGGAGGGAAGGATGGATGGATGAATAGATAGACTTTTTTCTTTTTCCCTGGGTCCATACCAAATCAGGAGCTGATTAGGAGCTGAACAGATGGTGATAAGCGGTTTCTAAAAGTCTGACAGAAATGAGATGGGGCATCACAGTGGAAAGGGAATCTTGAGAGTACAATGCACAGGTGCAGGGAATCACCATGTTTCTCAGATCTGTCAGCTAGTTTGTGCAAACACAAAAGATCAAACCACACTCTCTTCTAGAAGTTCTTCCCAAACAACTTGGCCTCTCTCTTCGGTGCAGGGAGATCAGGGCAGAAACACTCAGGGTAGTGGGAAATTCCATCACTATAGTTTACCATTAACAAACCATCATCATCATCATCATCATCATCATTATTTGGGCATATATGTGTGTGGGTGTGTGCATCTATTCTTGTATACAGGGACAGCCAAGGTTAATGTCTGGTGTCTTCCTCCCTTGCTTTCTACCTTATTATTTTTAAATATTTTATTTATTATTTTTATTTTCTGTGTATGAGTGTATCGCCTACATGTGTGTAAGTGCACCTGTGCCATGCAATGCCTACAGAGGTTAGAAGAGGGTGTCCAATCCCCTGGAACTGGAGTTAGAGATGCTTGTTAGCCACCAGGTGGATGTTGGGAACCAAACCTGGATCCTCTGCAAGAGCAGCCAGTGTGCTTAACCACTGAGCCATCTCTCCAGCCCCTCTACCTTATGTTTGAAACAGCATCTCTCTCACTGAACATGGGGCTCAAGCCATTTGGGCTAGATTGGCTGACCAGCAAGCTCCTAGGATCCTTCTATCTCCATTCCCCAGCACTGGATGCTGCCACATCTGGTTTTTATGTGGTTGCTAGGGGGTCCAAACTCAGGTTCGCTTGCTTCCATAGCAATCAATTTATCCACTGAGCTATCTCCAAAGCTCCAGGGGTTATCAAGTAAAGGGAAGCCAGACATGAAGGAGAGGAAGGAGACTCTACAGACACTGTCCTTCTGATCAGCCATTGTCAGGTTAGCTCACAGGCTTACACTGTCTACGCGATCTGAGTCTTCCTAACCCTCTCTTATTTTTTACTGAGAGTGGTCTCAGAAAAAGTAGGCAAATCATACATCCCTCTTAGCTTTTTGTATCAACAGGAGGGCCAAAAAATACTTCCATAGAGATCCATTAGGACAAAATGGTTTCAGTCCTGCTGCTCAGTATGCAGCAGTTCAGCCATGAAGGGTTATATCGTAGTAGCCTTCTGTATCATCCAGTAAGAAGCCACCTCTGGGCCTGACCACAGCCTCGGGCTTTCTGGCTCCTCTCCCAGGTTTCCTTGGACTCTCCATGATCCAGAGACTAAAAGTTGAAGGGCCAGCAAGCAGAGGTGGTCAATTCTGATTGGTCGATCCCATGCCACTCCAAATTTTCAGTCTCTTGGGTGTCATCTTACACTCCTGGCCGAACTCTGGAGACTTTGCCTCTGAGTAGGCAGCATCCTTGTTACATTAGCACAGTGTTCCCATGCTCATCTTTCTTCAGAACATTCGGAGGTTGAGTAGAGGCTCTGGCTGACTCCCCTGTGGAGCAATAGAATTGGGCTTTTGACCACAAATGCTTTTTTCCACTAGCTGCTTATAGAATTCAGTCTTTGGGGTGTAAAGGATTTGAGGGAAGGAAAATGGGGATATAGGTGTTCCCTTCTGCTAGACTACGATACCAGGGGACGAGTCACATCCTAAAACCTTTATCATTGACCTCATGAGATAGCATCAGGTGGGACTTGAAGGAAATATATTGGTTGGAAGACACCAGAGACACAATGCGTGTACTCTTCAGAAAGCACCTGATCTCCACCATCATCATGATGCCTAGGCTTTAGGGTGGGTTTCATAACAATATCCATGTCCTGGCTTCCTTGATTTCACTGGGCGTTTCATTCTTTTTCTTCATTATTACCCAAAGTTTATTAGAATCATGTGGATACTCACCAGAAATGCTATCTCTTATGATCCATCCTCCTCTATGACCTGTGATAAAGTTCATCTGAAGTGGAATCCAGGATTCTTTGTTTCTGATAGCAACTTTTTGTGATTTTTTGGAGAAGGTGACTCTGGGATACATTGTATTCACTTCTGTCCTTGACTCTTCTCCCTGGTTTGAGCTATCAATAGCTCCCTAACTATATCTAGTTACATCCCTACTCAGCAGTAAAGATAGTTAAGTGTTCCTAGTGGCAAGAAGGAGATGGGGAAGGAAGATTAGATATTAGGGGGGGTCAGAGAGAAAAAACTTGAACACACACACACAAAATTTGCAGAAGGATGACTTTTGACACTGTTATTTTAAAAATATTTTATTTATTATTTTTATTCTATGTGTATGAATGTATTGCCTGCATGTATGTAAGTGCACTTGTGTCATGAAATGCCCACAGAGGTCAGAAAAGGGTGTCAGATCCCCTGGAACTGGAGTTACAGATAGTTGTTAGTCACCATGTGGGTGCTGGGAACCAAACCTGGGTCTTCTTCAAGAGAAGACAGTGCCCTTAACCACTGAACCATCACTCCAGCCCTGATGCTACATTATTTATAGGACTGTGAGCTTGATTTTTTTTAAAGCAACATGGGATAAAGTAAAATGGGATTGCTATGACTTTACAAGCCCTACACAATTCCCTGGTCGATTCATATTCATATTCTTAGAAATACATGGATATCCATGTCCACACATGCTCATACACACATTCCTAGAAGTTTCCTTTCCAGGGACTCTATCAGAGCAGATCCTTTGGAGTTCCTACAAATTACACTGTTTTAAAAAACGATGACCAAGTTTCATTATGCAGCTCTGTCACACGAACATCACTGAGTTTTGTAAGAATCCGGTGACGTGTGTAAACTACATGAGTGCACACATTTACTCACAGGTTATTTACGCACACACTTTACAAGATATGAACCTAAGTGATCAGCTTTTCTGAACATCGTACAAGAATCTCAATGTGCAATTGAATGGTTTCACCTTCAAAGGATTGCACAAAACATCCTTGGGCAATCTTTAGAACTTTTGGGGGCTTCTTTTCAGGGCTGACAAATGACACATTTGTTAAGGGACTTAATCAGCAGAAATAGTTGAAGAAAGCCATTCCAAGCTGTCTTCTATAGCTAGGCAAGTCTGAGCATGCCTGTTGTTGACAAAATTTTGGTGTGACCCTATAGAAGTCAGTCTGCTTGCGTGACTTGGAAATACTCATTGTAAGCATTCTAAAATGGGTTTCTTTTAGCTAGCTGAGGAAGGAGTATAGATGATCCCAGAAGACACAACATCCCCTTCTGTTCAGAGATGGGTGTTTTTTGTCACTTCAGATACATTTTATTAACTTTAGCTTCCCTATTATCACTGTCTTACCTTGGGTCATGTTAGACCATTTAAATGATCTGTTTGAGGCAGGAAGGAGGGGGTGGGAAGGAAACTCAGAACATGTAATAGTAGGAAAAGTTGTATTTATCGTTAACTATATCCACTGCATCTTATAGATTGGCTACTTCAAGCCGGCTGAGACTGTGGGTATGTTTGTGTATATGGTGGGATGTGCAGACGGTGGGATGGGGCAGGGCAGGCACTTTAGACAGTGATGAAAAAGCTGCAGAAAAGCAGCATGGTGGAGTGGGTAGCTGTGGTGTGACCAGTGAATATTCACACTTGGAACTAAATTTTGGAATGTTATTTCTCTAAAGATTCCAAAGGTCTTCCCAAAAATATAACCAACCACAGAGGGGAAAAAAGATACCCGGATTCCAAGGATCTCAAGATGGTGCTGAAAACCTACGACACTACCTTCCTGGACTTTCTCAGAAGGTGTTTGGTGTGAGTTTGTCGGGGTGTCTTAGCCTATGGGTTTCCTAAATTTTAAGTACTGTAGTTTTACATGTGTTTGCTGGTGTCTAAGGGCAGGAGAGCCACAGTAATGCTAACGGTAGAGCTTTGATGTTTCCAAGTCACTTTATGTATCTAATCAGACTGCTCTCTGCACTGTGCAATCAGGATGATGACCTTCTCTGATGCACAGATGATCAGGCCAGGCTCAAAGACATTCAATCATTTTCCCTGGACTGAATAGTGTGTGGGTGGAGCTTGTTACCTTGTTAGCTGACAACAGTGAGTCCTCCTGTCTGTCTTCCATTCATGAACTAAAACACAACCTGGTTAAGATTTTTTTTTTATTATTACTTGTTTTTGTCTATGAGTGTATTGCACCTGTGTCATGCAATGCTCTTGGAGGCCAGAAGAGGGCATCAGATCACCTGGAACTGGAGTTATGGATGGTTGTTCGCTGCCATGTGGGTACTGGGAACTGAACCTGGGTCCTCTGCGAGAGCAGCCAATGCTTTTAATCACTGAGCCATCTCTCCAGCCCCAAGATATTTGTTTTTATTTTGTTTGTTGTGGTATTGAGGATGGAACCTAGTGTCTCACACATGCTACCCAAATGTTCTACCTCTAAGCTCCATTCTCAGCCCTAAATAATATTTCTCATAAGAGACTTTCTAGACAACTTGGAAGTTAATATGGCTCATCATGAAAATTTTCTTTAAAAATTTTCCAAAGCCAGGCATGGTAGCACATGCCTTTAATCCCAGTGCTCGGGAGGCAGAGGCAGGAGAATTTCTGAGATGATGTCAGCCTGGTCTATATCGTGAATTCCATGCCAGCTGGGGCTACAGGAGACCTTGTCTCAAACAAAACAAAACAAAACAAAACAAAACTTTTTCAATAGTTTGTTGCTACTTTTAAATGATCTCATCATCTGTTTGTTAATATTGTTGAGATATGACATAGTTAAGATGAAAAAATATATTGTGTTTAAAAAATACTTTACTATTAAAAAGAGAAGTCATCAATAACCTCTACTGGGCCTTCTTGCTGTACAGATGGGAGCCTTCTCTCCGCATGACTCCTGACCAGGCCCTCAAGCATGCCTGGATTCATGAGCCGTGGAAACCCAAATCCCGGACCAGGCCGTGGACGCTGAGGAAACCCAGTTTCTCTCTTCCCTCTGACATAAGCAAGGACAAGGCTGCAGACAATGAACTCTTCAGCAAAAGCAAAAAAGGTATAGCCACACCTGTCCTCAGGTCCATCCCCTCCTCAGGTCCACTCCTGTCCTCAGGTCCATCCCCCTCCTCAGGTCCACTCCTGTCCCCAGCTCCACCCCTGTTCCTAGGCCCACTCCTGTCCCCAGCTCCACCCCTGTTCCTAGGCCCACTCCTGTCCCCAGCTCCACCCCTGTTCCTAGGCCCACTCCTGTCCCCAGCTCCACCCCTGTTCCTAGGCCCACTCCTGTCCCCAGTTCCACTTCTATCCCCAAGGCCATGGAGCCAGGCACATGTGGACAAGCATATCCAAGTATTCTGAACACAACACAAGTTTGCATAAGTATGAACACAATTCAGTTCTTGCTACACAATCATGAGCCTGACATTTCTTATTTTTGTGAGTTTTCTTTTCCTGGAGACTTGATTTTCGCTGGACTCCTCTTTTAGGCCTCTTACCGTTAGGAATTTTCCATTTTCCTTCATATTCAATCCCTTTCTCCTCCCCCTTTCTTTCATTATGACTACCCCTTCTATTATTATTACTGTTTACGTTCTTTTAAAAAAGATTTAAAAAATATTCGTGTGTGTGTGTGTGTGTGTGTGTGTGTGTGTGTGTGGTGTGTGCCCAAAGAAGCCAGAAGAGGGG